GCAAAGTAGAATGTTAGCTAACTTGGTTCCTTCTCCTATTACAGGAACGAGAGGGGGGCGAGAAGGACTCAGGTAGGTACACTTAAAGGATAGCACTTTCCTAATGAAAACCGAAGTGTTCTCTAAGGCCAATCGGAACGTAAGTAGATGTGTAAAGGAGCTGAGAATAAATCCTAGAACATACAACTTCGGGACTTGAAATCTGAAAGACCAAGCCTCTTTTGGTTATAGTTCTACATTCAAACTTTATGCGAGTGTTTGTTTTCTTGACGAATTGTGGGTTTAGTGAAGCATTTTTAGTGCAATCCTGGATGAGCCTCGACAATCAATTGAAAATCTCTTCTTTTTGTGTAAAAGTTTTGACTTTCGCGTGTGTTCGTTTATTTATTTTTTTATTTAAAGCATTTTATCCTGGACAAGTCTAACTTGTGTGTTTTTTTCATATCGTAGGATTCCATTCCACTTGGTGTCCCATCGAGGTAGAAACTTTCAATTACTCCACCTCCTTATTCCCTTCAGATTCTGAACAATCCACCCCTCGCTGTAGGATTTACATCAATTTCGTGGTGTCCTGAGGGACCTATGTTAGACTGACAAGCAAGGAAGCTTAATGCGATTAAGTGTTAAATCTTTGGAGATTCAGGAATGGCCTTCTCGATTCTTTTCCAACTATCATTTGCTCGAACTATTAAACCCCTTAGATTAGGAGTATGAATACGTCTTTGCAATTAATAATAGTATAAATGTTAAAACAGAGGTGAATATGCTCAAAGGTGCCTGCTACCTGAGCTCGTGTCTTGTCTTATTACAGGAACCAATAGATGTCAAGATGGCTTCAGGTAAGTTCACTGGAAAGAAGGGCCAATCAGAACAAAGTTAGGTATTTAAAGGAGCTAAGGATAAATTCTAGTACATTCAATAACAAACAACCTCAAATGCTGAGAAACGTGAACTACCCAAGCTGCGACTGGTTTTAGCGTTATATTTTATCGCGGTGCTTGTTTTCCAGATCAATCACTTGCGCAGTAAAGCATTAGAGAAGTTCTGAATTGAGCGTCAAAAAACCCAGACCATAATAATCACAACTATCGATCAGAACAAAGATTAATAATAATTATTAACCGATGAAAACTCAACATAAAACAGGCAACCGACTTAAATCACGGGAAAACGCGTGTGACCAAGTTGGGATTGGTGTTAGTTTTTGCATTTGATTGGTTGACTTGAAGGTGCGAATTTTCTGGACCGATCACGGAAATAAAGCAAAACCAAAGCAATCCAGGGTCACTTTTGATACTGTGAAAAAAACTGCTCTATCTGTGCAACCCAGGATTTCTGTCAACACTCAGTGGAAAATTTCTTCTTTTTTTTTTGTACTTTTTTCCATAATTAAGGTATTTTATCTAGCGCCCTTTTCACACCAACTTAAGCGAGTAACTTTTGTTTGTTTTTGGATATTTCAGAAACATCCTCTGAACTAGGTTCCAGTGAGGTAAAGAATTTCCATTCTTTTTTTATTGCTTTTTTTTGTTAAACAACAATTAATTATTGGTTCTACATCACTACGTAAAACAAAACGATTTCTTGTCTTCTAAATTGCATATTACAGTCTAACAATCTGTCTCTAGATCTAACCTACAATTGAAATTTTAACCATTTACAATTCAATAGATATTGTTATTTTACAGCCTCTGTCGTCAGAAGATTTATCTGAAAAGCCTGAAGGTACATACATGTTTGTCTTCTAATAGTTAAGAACTTTTGTTTGGGTAACGTTTATTTAAGTAACACCTTCAAGGAAAGCCGACTTGGATCCAGATGTAATAAAATAAACTTCTCTTTAATCTTTGTATCTGTTACCATCACTGAAGGAACATCTATTCAGGAAAAATTTTCTGTGGTCTTGAGCTTGTACCCTGAATAGAGAATCTACTGTATCTCTTACCTTCATTGAAGAAAGGCCTTCCTTTTGGAGACACTTTTATGGTTTCTATTTGTCCCCTGAGTAAAAGTTCCATCTAGAAGCTGTTCCTTCATTGAGGGAGCACCTCTTTCCAAGGGACTCTTTTCCTAGTCCTTAGGATGAAGGTTCCACTTAATAAGTTAGCAAACTCATATCGACTGTGATAAGCAGTGTCTGCCAAACTTGAGTTAGCCTTTGAAATACCCTGTGAACACCGACTTAATAAAGTAACTTTTATTTGTTTTTAGATATTTTGGAAATCATCCCAAAGAAAGGGCCCATGGAGGTAAAGAATTTTCTTTTTTTCTAAATTAGTATACCTCCTTTTTGCGCTCGCACTTGACTTGCATATATACTTTTCCGAACGTTTAATTATCTTTCGATTTTGTGTGCTTGCATTCATAGGGTTGACACTGAAAGCTCAAGTATGTCCTAGAAACCATGTGGGGCGTATTCCTCCTTTTAAAACGTTGCTATTCAAGATAAATTTAACCAGTGGCATGCGTTTCTTTCAGGGTGGATCACTATTTGTCATAGTTATGTTGAAGCGTCTCCCACCGGAAGTAAAGTCTGCCTGGGCAGAATTTGGAAAGAAGGCTGTCACTCACTTGGAAAGAGCTAATGATTTTAATTTGATTGGTCAAATTCCAGGTAAGTTTTTTATGGCTTCAATACTCGAAAAGATTTTATACTTCCCCTTTTCGTATACTTTTCTTGCATTTAATGTTATTTTTTGTTAACTGTATTTTTTCAATTTTGTGCCTCAGCATCAGATAGGCCTGGTAATGTAACTGTCAGAGTGCATTCTTCGACCGGAAGAATTCTTGGAAAGACTGATTTCTGCTATTACGATCAAGACAAGGAAACACTGTCACAATTCGTGAGAGATTTTATGGTTGGTAAAACGAAAAGTGAAGGACAAGATTTATCATAACCTTTGGCAGGTACGTTCTTGTAACTATTTTGAAACACTTATACTGTCGAGCTCGAAGGTTTTTTCCTTTTTCTTTTCCTTTTTTTTTTTTCAAAACACGACGAGTTTAAAAAACAGTCTTATCTCTTCATGACGGCCATCTTAGGGGCAAAAGACAGAGGCCGCTGTAGAGAGATTGCAGTTTTTTGGGGATCGGTTGTCAAGGTGACCCTCATTTTTTCAAATTTGGAGCATTTTTCCTCATATATAACAAAGGCTTGTTGAACCATAATTGGGGGCCACAGGTTTGTCAGTAATTGTAGTTACGGTGACGCGTTACCCTTGTAAAATGAAGTCCATTACTTAACTACCTTCATATTTAATTTAGTCACCAGCCAATAACATCACCGAAAACTGGCTTATTCGTTTTTAGGAACTCTGGACCCGACTGACCCTGAAAAACTCCTCAATTGACTCTGATAAACCTCTCGCTCAGGTTGTTGAAACGCAAGTCAGAGTAACCGGCAGGACTTATTTCGTCCTGACGACCGAAGTCAATGAGCAGGAGAGCGGAGAAAGCAGCAGCATTCCATTTTTTTTTTTTTTTTCGAGTTTTGACTTGTTTAAATTTTGTTTTGTGGGTTAGGGGATTGTAGCGATTGTAGGGGCAATTATTTACCAGAAGATTCTGGCTGAGATAGCTTTTCATTCTAAACAGCCCCAAATGACACTTAACCTACCCAAGAAAAGCAATGGCTTATTTTAGTTATCACTGAAAGAAAACAAAAAAGCACCATCAAGCTTATTAGCAGATGAACTACAGTCGAACCTCGATTATCCGGACTCATCGGGACCTCAGTAAATAGTCCAGATAATTGAGAGTCCGAATAATCCAAAATATGAATATTAATGAAATATAAATGTAAACAAAAGGTTTACAGCAAAGAAAACATCATTTTAATTGTTAAATCTACACAAATAAAAACTTTCAGTTCAGGTATTTGAAAAGGTCTAAAATGTTCAAGCATGTTTGTTTGCTTCAAAGACTTGTAGAAATAATAAAAATATTATTTTTGGCCCGTGAAAAGCGAGCGCGCCAGACCAAAATATATA